CTAACAAACTGGAATAGGTGGGGCAGTGTGGGTGTGGAGGCACTGTCCTTCTCTGCTGAAAGAACTGTGCAGAGATCAGAATGCAAAAACCATAAATCATAACAAGAGTGTCACCAGATAAAAGAAGATTAATTAAAGGAGAGAACTGGGTGTCAGATTCTGATCTCATGGCTTTTCTATATAGATACTGTTCAAGAAAATCTGAAGTAAAAGGAAAGCCTTTAAAAGCTTTAAAATATTAAGCCTCCACCTATCCTTTGTGGGTTTTTGTTTGTCATAGGTTTTCTGTTTTTATATTCATTCCAGTAATGATGTGAACACACTATTAAAAATAACTTGCTGTGAAACCCTGTGTGCACTAAGTTAAAGTTAATTCTGTAAAAGATTTATTCCTCCTTCTTCACACACACTGAACTAATCTGCCCTGTCTCCCTCAAAACCTATTCCCCCACTTTCATCAGTGTTAGGAGTACAAGTAATAGTTGCCTATTAAATTCCACAAATGAAGTTAATGCCCACTTCCCCTGTTTTATTTGCTTCTTTACAGTTGCTTGCACAACTCAAAAGAGAGGCCTTTAAAAGAGAGTTATAATAACCACATGTTGTTTGGTTCCTGCTCTTCCTGTGCACAAACATCTTTGACTGAAGGAAAATGAAAATAATTTTCTCTTTTCATCTGCTGGATCTAGCATGCAACACAAAGTGAAGTCATGCAGCTTCTAATGACAGTGGATAAAAATTCCTAAGTAGTAAAAGACTACTTGTGACTGAGAGGGAAATGTCTATATTGGATTATTAACTCTGTGCTCTTGTGGAATTAAAAATGTTATAAGAATAACACAATAGCAAATGGACCAAGAGGAAATGGACAGTTTCTTAGTCAGCACGGGATATACATTATAGAAACCAAACAGTGATATATATGATGGAAACAGGGATGTATATGATATATATGATGCAAACCAAACAGTGCACGGCAGTTGATGGTTCCCAGTGTTTCCTAAACTCAGTCTAGCTACATTCCTGTCAGCACTGGAATGAGATTTGTTCAAAATTGCACCAGTGCACAGGCAGGTCTGAGGAACTACCTTACATAACTCTTCTTCTTATTGAGCATTCTCATTCAAAACTTAATCCTGAGCCCTTCCTAAAGATGATACCTGTGCAAGTGCATTGTGCTTTAACCGCAGCCAGCAACCGAGTACCCGTGCAGCCGCTCACGCATGGAGTGACACCCCTGGTGGTTGGTACCCCCACACTCCAGCTCCTTTTGGTAAAAGGGACAGACCACTCTGCTTGCCCGTGCTTTGATCCTGGCTCACGGGAGCTCTCCCGGGAGAGTTTCCCGGGCCCCAGGAGGGCGTTCACACAGAACCAGGCTGCTCTCCTCACCCGGGGCTGCAGGGGCACAGACCTGGGGGCCAAAGAGGCACGGGTGTGTCACAAGGTGGCAGGCTGGGCACGGGGAGTGCTGCGCCCCAGCCATTCCGGGATTCTACAGCAGGACACAAGGATTCCTGGCTACCTCCTGAACTAGGGAAAGAGACCCACAGTAGCACAAAATTACCTTGATTTTCATCTGTAATTTTCTTCTGAAAAACCTCTATAGACCTCCAGGTGTATAAATAACCCATAGATGACTCATTTGTATAAATATATACCTATGACATATGTAATTTTGTAGCTCCCATACATTTTGAACAATTCAATTCTTCAGAAGAGTTGGATTTTTCTTCTTAAATATAAAACAAGCCAAGAGTTCTGAAGTCCTATCAGATACGGAAACAGGATATTGCCTGTACACTCTCCTCCTCTCCCTTCAAATTCAGCAGGCCTAAAAACACTTTATTGTTGAAGTAGGTTTTTAACAAATACTCCCACTGAATTACTCACTGTTGAGACAATAAAAGTGTTCAGAATATCTTTAATTTACTGGAGGGGGAAAAGTCTGAATTAAATGGTCTGTGTTTTGTAGCTTAATCCTACTGACTTGAGATAATTTCAGGGCAGGATTTATTACTACCTTGTGTTCCTTTGGGCTGGTGTAAAATAAAAAAAAAATATTTTAAACCAAGGTTTATTTTTTCCATGGAAGCATATCCAAATATGCTTCCATGGAAAAAATAAACCTTGGTTTAAAATAATTTTTTTGGTAATTCCATGCAAACCACTTTTTTTCAACACTGGACCTTGCCACTTTCTCCAAACCCCTGATGAATACAAAGATTTTGTAGCACTGCTTTTACCCTTCTCATCAAAATCCTTCACATGGTACTTAGGCAAGAAGGAGGAATTCTAAGGAGAAGATTTGTGCAGTGGTTGAATATGATGAATAATCATGGAGTGTTGGTTTCCAGCAATGAACATAAATTCCATGGTACTTCGAGAAGTGTTTCTTCTGAACCTTCATTTGCAGAGCAAGACTGGGATTCAGTTCTCCTGACACAGTTCTCTAGACATCACAGTTCTCAAGTTTTTCTACATTACGATTCATCAATCATACCTCTCAAGAAGGGCAACAGCCCTCATTCATTACCTCTTTGGATGAGATGAATCTCACCTTAAAGGTGCCTCCTTTTCTCCATGGACTGGAAACGGTTTCTATGTCAGTAGCTCACTGCTTGACCACCAGAAGCATCTCTGTTCATTTCCCCTGCAAACAAGTACAGCTAGACTCCTCCAGCTTGAATCCAGCCACCCAGGATGATGAGCAGGGGACTGCCTGAAGCTACCAGTGCTGTTTGAGAACACACCCCTCTCAAGTTCCTATGCTGTGCCTCTTTTAGGGTTTTACTTTGAATACAAAGCATTGTTTTGAAGTCATCCCCAACTAACTACTGAGCTTTGATATGTTTTGTTAAAGTCTCAGTCCACCACTGGTTCTCTTTCAGAAGGCACTATGGCAGAAAATGCACTCCATAAATGCCCCTAGTGTGCTTCTATTGCTAATGTGTCCTCAATTCACAGGATCAGGCTAGAGGCAGTTCCAAGTAATTCCCCTTGAAACTTGCATATTATGGTTGACAAATTCTCCTATTCAACTGTTTTGCTACACAACCATTTGTTTTGGATTCCACTTCTTGGTAATTAAGATACAGATGGAGATTTCTAAAATCTGTCCTACAAGCACCTTCCTCCACTGATGGTTCACAGCCAGGAACCCTTGCTTGGACAAAGGTACCACTGCTGCTGGCCTGTGACCATTTGTACTGCTTTATGGCAGCATGGCTGGCACAGTTCTGGTCCTGCCTCCTTTCATACACAGCTGGGAGACAGCATGTACCAGAGACTGGGAGCAGCAGGCAGCTTGCAAGCACCCTGGCATCTTCTGTGGGGGAAGAGTGCTCTGGCATGTGGCTGACAGCCCTAACATGTCACACATCTTGGAGGCCAAAAAAACCTTGACCTGTTTTACTCACTGCAACAAACATGACCTTAGCAACTACAGCACTCTGCGAGGATAAGGGAGAAATTGTTTATGACTGAAAGAGCTCTGCTCCCCTAAGCAGCTGCCCCAAATAGGCAGCAAACACAACATGTGCCTCCCTGAACTACAGGACAGACTACAGCCAGTGGTTTGGTCTCCCTCTGTAAAAAGGGAATCCCCTTAAGCAGAATGCAATTGAATCCAGGCCTCCCACATCCTAAATCACTGCACTCACCACTCAGACCTTGAACAAAAATCAATTACCACCTCTGCTCCAGAAGAGCAGTTTTGTATGGCATCCAATCCTTTGCAGAGCTGCATCCAACTGCTTTCTCAGAGAAGCTGCAAAATGACATGGATGACGCTGCAATTTGTGACCTTGAGGTGATATGCTGTAACAGCCAGAAAAATACAGAGTTTAATATTCTGCTAGCCCTCCTGCTGTAATTCAGCATCCTGTTAATCCTTATTAAATGGAGATCCCAGAGGAAAAAGGCAAAGAAAAGGACTATAGTTTTAGGCAAACTTGTCAAAACTACTTCATGTGGTTCAGACTGAAGGGTTCCTGAGCACACCCCAAATCTAGCACCTATGTTAGGACCACCTTCATTAAAACTTGGGACACTTAAAAAGTTTCAGCCTTCTTGGGTTATGCCAAACACGACCTGGACTCGTCAGACTCGTGGCTCTTGGACTGTGTTTTCCTAATTCTACGGCAAGCACCTACGTTTGCTCATTTTCCTCCGACCTTTGGCATCTATCTGCTTTTGCTCTCCACCTGCGCTCGGCGGAGCGGCACTGCCTGGCACCAGGCGCTGCTCGGCCCTGGCAGCACAGATGCCCGGGGCGCGGTGACACGCCGGGGCACAGGAAGGGAACTCCGCCGCTCGCTCCCACCTCGCCGGCAGCGATTGCAGCGGTCGCCTCCTGCGGGAGTCACCCCCGCTCACCTCCGGGCCTCGCCCCCGCTCGGTGCCGGCCGTGCCGCCCCCGGCCCTGCCTCCCTCCCTCCCTCCCTCTCTCCCTTCGCCCGCCGCCCTCACTCCGGGCATGGAGCGGACCGGCGGCGGGAGGGGCGGGCGCGGATCCCGGCAGTGCGGGGGACGGGAGGGAAGGGGCGAGAGACAGGCGGAGGGACGGGGGACTGCTACCCTCCGGGAGGGACGGATGGCCGGGATGGAGGGGGACAGCTCCTCTCTAGATGGGACGGGAGGCAGGGAGGGGGACAGCTCCCTTTTGGACGGGATGGGAAGGAGGAAAGGATGGAGGGCAACAGCTCCGCTCTAGGTGGGGAGAGGAGGGATGGAGAGGGTCAGCTCCTCTCTAGATGGGACGGGAGGGAGGGAGGGAGGGATGGAGAGGGTCAGCTCTCCTCTAGGTGTGTGTGGGGAGGGATGGAGAGGGTCAGCTCCCCTCCTGGCGGGTCGGGGCGCCTCGCCCGCTCCGGCCCGGGGGGCTGCGCCCTGTGACGAGCCCGGGCGCTGGGAGGCAGCGCGGCGGGGCGGGGTGACGGCCGCGGCTCTAATAAGGCCGGGGCTGGCGCTGGCCGAGGGCTGCTCGCCCCCGCCCGCCCCCGAGCATGCAGTGCTTCCCCGGGCTGGTGCTGGCGCTGAGCTCGCTGCTGGGCGCCCTGGCGCTGCTGCAGCTCTCGCTGCACCTGCGGGTGCCGTCCCGCTACGGGAAGCACGAGGAGCGGCTGTGCCGGCCGCGGGGCCGGCTGCCGGCGCGCTGCGCCTGGTTCCTGCAGGAGCTGCCCTCCTTCCTAGTGCCCGCGCTGCTGCTGGCGCTGCGCAGCCCGCCCCGCCTCGAGCCGCTCGGCTGCCGCCTCCTCTGCTGCCTCTTCTGCTGGCACTACTTCTACAGGTACCGCCGCCGGGCACGGCTCCCGGCCGCCGCGCCTCGGGAAAGCAAACGGAGCGGGGCAGCCGGAGCCGGGCCGGCGGCGCGGCCGGGGCAGGTCCTGGCTGCAGCATCGCTCCCGCCCGAGTCCGGCTGGCCATCCGCGCCCCGGACTCCGCTCCGAGAGTAGAGACCGGCCGGGTGGGCATCTCTGCCCGGGGGGAGGAGCACCCGGTGGTGCTCGGGTGCTTGAACAGGGGAGAGGATGGATGCTTTGAATTGTTCTCTTAGGGGGAGGGAAAAAAAAAAAAGAAAGAAAAGAAAAAAAGAAAGAAAGGAAAAAAAGAAAAAAAAAGAAAGAAAAGAAGGTTTCGCTAAGTTGAAGGAAAGGTTTGGGTAAAACTCATCCAGATATTATGTAAAGGTGCATAGGAAGCGCCTGTTGCGGGCAGGAGAAGCGCCGCGTGTGCGGCGCTGGGAGCAGCGGCGGCCGCCGAAGGCAGCCGTGGGAATACCGGGAAGGTGGCCGAGAGCAAAGCCACGGAGCACCGGGGGCGCACGGCTCTGCCCATGGAGCACCGGGAGAGCACGGCTCTGCCCATGGAGCACCGGGAGAGCACGGCTCTGTCCTCAGCACCGGGAGCACGGCTCTGCCCATGGAGCACCGGGAGCGCACGGCTCTGCCCGAGCACGGGGAGAGCACGGCTCTGTCCATGGAGCACCGGGAGAGCACGGCTCTGTCCATGGAGCACCGGGGGCGCACGGCTCTGCCCATGGAGCACTGGGAGCGCACGGCTCTGCCCATGGAGCACCGGGAGCGCACGGCTCTGCCCGAGCACCGGGAGAGCACGGCTCTGTCCATGGAGCACCGGGAGAGCACGGCTCTGCCCATGGAGCACCGGGAGAGCACGGCTCTGTCCATGGAGCACCGGGAGAGCACGGCTCTGTCCTCAGCACCGGGAGAGCACGGCTCTGCCCATGGAGCACCGGGAGAGCACGGCTCTGTCCATGGAGCACCGGGAGAGCACGGCTCTGTCCATGGAGCACCGGGAGAGCACGGCTCTGTCCTCAGCACCGGGAGAGCACGGCTCTGCCCATGGAGCACCGGGAGAGCACGGCTCTGTCCTCAGCACCGGGAGAGCACGGCTCTGTCCATGGAGCACCGGGAGAGCACGGCTCTGTCCATGGAGCACCGGGAGAGCACGGCTCTGCCCATGGAGCACCGGGAGAGCACGGCTCTGTCCATGGAGTACCGGGAGAGCACGGCTCTGTCCTCAGCACCGGGAGAGCACGGCTCTGTCCTCAGCACCGGGAGAGCACGGCTCTGCCCATGGAGCACCGGGAGAGCACGGCTCTGTCCATGGAGCACTGGAAGAGCACGGCTCTGCCCATGGAGCACCGGGAGAGCACGGCTCTGTCCATGGAGCACCGGGAGCGCACGGCTCTGTCCTCGGAGCACCGGGAGAGCACGGCTCTGTCCTCAGCACCGGGAGCCCGGCTCTGTCCTCAGCACCGGGAGCGCACGGCTCTGTCCTCGGAGCACCGGGAGAGCACAGGCGCTGCGGGCGTGCGGTGCCTCGGCACCAAAGCTGGTTCATTATGCTCAATTCCTCATTCCTGCTCCACTACCGAAGTACCAATTTGTGTTGGGGTTTTTTTTTTCTTTTCATACCTTTTCTTTTTAGAAACCTGGTCTTGTCAGAGTCAACGAATGCTGCAGCTCTAATTAATTCTGTATTTGCTAATCAGGAGTTTAAATAAATAGTAGTGTTTCTATCCAGTGCTGGTGATAACTTTGAAGAGACATAGCTCTACAATTGTTACCAAGTTCTGCAGAATATCACCAGAATCCATCTTCTCCACTTCCATTTTCTGTGGAGTTCTTTCATGAGAAAGCTGAATTTTGTTTATGGAAAAAAAAATGGCTTTTATTCACAAGTAGCAAGTGCACATACAAATGTTATGCCATTATGTAGTAAAGAGCGGTGTAACTTCTGAGGCAAACCTTGACTTGATTTGACAGTTTCCACCACCATTCCTATATCTGGGTTTTTTTTAGTTTGCTTCATAGAAATAGAAAACATTCTTGTAATATTTGATCAGAAATAATTATTTGCTCCTCAACCAAAATCAATATATTGAAAATCCAATTGCAGTATCTCTACAGATAGTTTAAGGATAGACACTCAAGGCTATTCTGGAGATATTCCAAACAGGGAACGGTTCACGTTGCTAACACTATTTTAGGCATGTATTTGTTATCACTCCCATTGTCTTTACTGCAGGAGTCAGCTCGAGGACACACCCATAACATATTTGGCTTCCAGAAAGCTAGATGTATTGATTATATGTAGTCATACAGAATTTAGTTAAATGCATTTTGTTATCAAGAATTTCTGATTGTTTGAGAAACACAACTATCAAGGAACACCACTAGACAGCTGAAGGAAATGTTACCCTATCAGTGTGCACACATCGATTGGCTCTGTGGCTTCTTTCCCAAATTTACTGCTGGACTGAGGCAAAAGCTCTGTGTTTTCATATGTTTTCTTTCCCAGACAATTTGGGGATCTTCTCATCTCTCACTGGAATATCCTTCTTCACTTCCTCACTTCAACCAAGTCTGTATAAAACTTTTCTTGCTAAGACAGCATATTACTCTAATATCAATCTCACAGGCTGCAGCCCCTTCTCACACATGCCATTCTGACATTCTGCTGAATCAATTAATATTTGAAATGTTGTATTAAATATTAATACTCTGCTGTTGTGTAAAAGAGCAGCAAAATCACAAAATAAAAGTTTTTCTGGGTTTTGCCTGACAATACTATAGGACAGGCAGGTTCTTTGAGGGATCCTTGGTAGAATGACCTATGGCCACATGGCTGTGTTTATGATTAGAGCTTTCTTGATAACATGAAAGTTTTAACAATCAGCACAGATAATTTTTATCTACAGTTTCTAGCAGGTAGGATAATTTCTTGTTACGGAGAATTTTTTAGCCTGTAGCATATCTTACAGTTAAACAGAATTTCTGCAGCTTTCTTCTTTTCCAGACCTTTTAGCTACCTGGACTTTTTTAGTCCTCGGATCCTCTGAAGGTTGGGTCAAATTCTTAACAATCAGTAAGTGGCACAATAACTGTAATCTGGATTAAGCCTTGAACTAAAAGAATGGGACTTACTCAGTCCTTGGAGGAAGATGACAACAATGGAGGAGACTTCCCTGACCACTGGGCATCCACAGGTTTTGCCATCCAGAATCAGCTCCAGTCTAAGCCCACCTGCAGCTCCTGGATTTTCTAGGTAGTACCTCATGGGAATTTAGGCTTCCCTGTTCCATACTGAGAGCCACCACATCCTGGTGATAGTGCTGGTGGGCAAGCTGTCTTATTGCAGAGCTGAAAAAGGGGTGGAAAGAAGGGCACTTACATATGATGTGCACTTGCATATTATGGCTGTTTGCCTATAAAATGATGCTGAACAAATCACATTACCAAGGGATACTGGTGATACTGCATTAGAAAGTTCCATTGCCATACAGTGTTTGAAAAGAGGTTCAGTAATTTTACATAACAGTCAGGACCTAGTTTGACTTTTTGGATTTTCTTTTGTTTTGTTTTCATTTTATTATCTTTACTTGGAAGAATCTAACAACGGTTTTAAATACTTTCGTGATTAAACTTGACTGCAAGGATACTAAGTGTTATATCAATCAATAATAAAATTGCATTTACCTAATGGGTGTAGCCTACTTCATTTTCTGACTTTAAAATTTTGAAATGAATAAAGGTGTTCCACTCTTAATCATAAAGGTATTTTGTTAATCCACTTCTACTTTTACTACTGATCATCTGGTATCTGTACTTAAGCATTCCTCTGTGTTTGTATGACACATTTTCTTTGTATATTGTTGCATAATTTAGTGACTTCTTTCTCTCCACAGGGGAGCTTTTATAATTCCTAATCTTGTCTCATCTACTATAGCAAACATACATGAGGAAGGGAAGTTTTCATCAGAGGTATGCTCAGATAGACATTACAGTCCCTAATGGAGAAACACAGACTTCCAAAAGACTGCTGTGCTTAGCAATTCTACCTTTCTTTATGTTCTAGCCAGCTGTGTTGCCCCTTTTAGATTGAAGCACATATTTCAGACTAACTTCAAGTCTTGACCTGAAGACCCCTGAAAATGAAAAATCCATCATTTTTAAAAGTGTTTTAATATTTTAATCCAGTGTTTTCTTTGGTAGTGTTATCTTCTAAATTCTTTTACCCTTACTTAAATATGTTTAAAATGTTTTGCTTAAATTTCAATGGTCTTGATTTTTGTCCCAGTGGGCCTTGCTCCTTCTATCCACCCTGTGCTAATTTAAAGCACTCCACTCCCTGGTGTCCTTCAGTATTCTCTTACCATGATATCACTTACATGGTACTGGATCATGTTTTAATTTGCTTGTTACAGAGTTGTCAAGCCCTCTGTCAGCATCAGTTTGATGCAGATAATATAGGAGCACATGATCATATTTCTGTGCATTAATTACCACACATGATGTCATATTTATGCTGAATTGATGGGTTTGTGGTGGATGTATGCCAGATATAGGGGAATAGGCATTACCTGATCTGACACAGAGTTAGAGTAGTGCAGACACATGATACTTCATCTGACATGAAGTTGGTCAGGATAAAATTACCTTTTCATAAAATTAGGAACAGCCTTAAGCCGCCATAATTAGCTGGTCCTGCTTTTGGACATGTTGTCAAATAGCTACAATATTTTTTTTTTATTTGAACTGAGGTATTGTAAACTAGATTTATAATATCACTGAACCACAGCAGACCCTCAATGCAAGACGTTTTTTCCCCCTCTCAGTCCTCAGATAATTTCTGTGGCTTTTTATCCCTCTCCTTTTTTTTCTATTTCTATAAAATGAAGACATCAGTGTGTGATAAATGATACAGTGCCAGAGTTGTAGTAGCATGCCTAGAGAGAACATTACTTTCCTGTTCTGCCATTCTACT